GTATACATGAGGACAGGCATGACCCAGCCGTTATATGCGTGTGTCTTATTCACACCGGACAAAAGCAAGCACTTTGGTCAAGCGTGCATAAAACACGTCGCAAACTGACTGTTTCATACCAGCCTCATAGATACCGATGTTCTGTGACATACCCAGGTATCGGTATGTTTCGGCCTCGGAAAGAGTCCTTAAGTTGACGGGCATAGACAAGTCTATGCCCTCAGAGTTAGCAACCCTTCCCCTTTCAACATGGAGGACCGCACACCTATCCGTCCCCAGCTCCATTCCAATGAAATTGCTAAATTCACAAGTGATGTTTAGCAATTCCATAAGATGGGAGCGACTGGAGGCGACTAACTTGAGGTCATCCATATAGAAAAGGTGGGTCACTTTTGTCCCTCCTTTCCCTGAAATCCCCTACCGGAGCCCTCCAGTAAGGTAATGAGAGGGTTCAGATTCAGAGAGACATGAAGAACCAGATTGGACTCAGACAATCGCCCTGGAAGATATCCCTTCTTATCCTTATGTGGTTCTCCGCAGCCATCATCCGCTCGCCCAGATGACAAAGGATCGTACTCCACTGCCCCATACACTGCTCGAGGAAGTCTCTAACTGTACAGTCAATCTTGTACAGCTCGAGGACCCTCTTTAGCCATGTATGGGACACCGAGTCGAATGCCTTTCTGTAGTCTATCCAGGCGGCAGAGAAGTTCCGACGGTTGCGTTTCACCACTTTGCCTATGACCGCGTCAATGAGGAGTGGTTACTTGGTTCCACGACCACCGCCCCGACATCCATTTTGAGTGCGTGACATCACCTGGTTTAGCTCCAAAGGACGAGTGATTCTCGCGCTCAAAATGGATGTCAGTGTCTTATATACATAATACATAAACACTCACGCCTGTCACCCAGAGGGGTAGGCAGAGACTACGGACTTCCATTTGGCACGATCCTGACATACCTCTTTCGCCTCCTTTACATCCATATATCTACGCATACATGCTCGTCGGTTAAGGGTACTTCTAACGTGGCCCATTTTCAAAATATCGCCAACTAGGTCAATAAACTTTTTTCTAGGGCGTCCCTTCCCGACTCTGCCGTTCACATCTGCCATATAAATTTGCTTTGTCACTCTTTCCTCATTCATTCTTTCTACATGACCAAACCACCGAAGCATTCCTTTCTTAATCCTGGTCATAACATCATCTTGCATACCACATTTATCCATGTCTTATATATGGTGGTTAGACACGTGATGGGGCGGTATTTGCTCGAGTCTGTGGTATCCTGATCTATAGGAACCAAGTGAGTGATCCCAGTAGTGAAGAGGCTCGGGAGCGACTTCTGGTCGAGAGCCTCTTGAAACTGTCGGGCGAGCACAGCGTGACACACTATGAACCCCTTCAGCCAGTAATGATGCAGCCCGTCGAGCCCCGGACTTTTCCAGTTCGGGGCCATACGGACCGCCTCAGCCACGTCTTCCGGCGTTATGGTGATGGGGTCCATAGACGTAACACTCGCACCCTGGCTCGCCACAACTTCCATCCAAGGGCCCTCTCTGTGGTTTACGGGCTCTGACCACAAGCCACGCCAGAATGCGATAATGTCAGCCTGATCCGATCCTTGGCCCGCTCCACATATCTTTGGCCGCTCCAATGATTTATAGAGCCTCTTCTGATCACTCTGGAAGAGACGATTCTGGTTGAACCGCCTTGACCTCTCGGTAAATCGTCGAATCCGCTTCCCCCCAAGCAGCGATCTTTTGCTTCAGGTCGTCTATGCGCTCCATTAGTTTCTGCGTGATATCCGGCTGGGACAAACTGATATGTGTCCCAGCAAACGCCATCCTAACGGTGCGCACAATCCTCGGTATATTATTACCCGACCTGAAGCTTGTCAGACTGCCGATAAGGGCCCTTGCCTTTGCTAAACGGTCCTCGATTCTTTTTCTCCAGGCTGGGATGGCGCTACTTTGTGTAGTAGCGCGCCCAGCCATGGGAAGTTTGGCGCCAATAATACGGCAAACTGCCACTGCGGCGCTAAAAAGAATTGAGTCCGTCTCGCAAAGGTCCCGGCTGGCTTCCAAATAAATCACCAGCATTGGGTTAAGAGCCCTCACGACAGCCCGATTTCGCTTGCTTAGGGGTATGCGGGGAAGTCGCGGTCGATTTTCGAGAGGGGTGCTGCGCGTTTCCAAAATCGCCTCATCCAATATGCTCCTCATTTGCTCTAGTTCGTGGGAGACTATTTCATCGTCGTTCGAATGAACCACAACTGGAAGATCCATGGCGGCTTCCACGTGTGGATGCTGGTCTGTCGCATCATGAATCATTCGCTTGATTACCAACTCTCTCCAGGTTTTGTTCCGTGACGGAAATGAAAGGCTCCAGCTCAGCAAAAAAGCAATGCATCCGAGCCCTATACGCTATTCCCACAGTTTCTTCCCCTTTCGCCCTGTAGTACGCCCGCAATGCGTTTTCTTTCATAGCTTTTACCCAACGCATGCGACGTGCTCCACCAGCGGCGGGTGCCGCTTGCTGAGTCCGAGTAGACCCAGCCGATACCAAGCCTTCTGGTGGGGATGATGGATGCGAGGGGCTGCTAGGTGATCGTGCAGCTCCTCGCGCTCGGCTGGCGGCCCGCATGCTGCCGCGTCCAGCGCCAGCTACAGACGCGCCCCGGCGACCCCCAGGCAGCGGCCCTATGCGCATTCCTTTCTGTGCCATCATCCATTTTATGGGCGCCAAATAACGGGAGACGCCCAAGCTCGGCACCGTTTCGTGGTTGGGTCATATGCACAAACGGACCTTTGCACCCATAATTTTGCCTAGGCACGGCGCTCATACCTCTTGGCAGGGCGCTGACTGACTGTGCCGACGTAGCAGTTTTGTCACATAACTGTTACGTCAGCGGGCAATGGGGTCGTCACTTCCCTACGCCTTATTAGTATTGTATTATAGCGGTGCCAAGTTGACTGTCGGTATATCGAAGTGCTGAAGTGTTTGTACAGTATGGCTACGATGGCTATTCGAGTACAGAACCAGAGAACGAAACCTATCCAACTGCAGAGAGGTGTAAGACAGGGTGACGTTATTTCCCCGAAACTCTTCACCGCTGCATTGGAAGACGTTTTCAAGCTACTGGACTGGAAAGGATACGGTATTAACATCAATGGCGAGTACATCACTCACCTTCGATTTGCCGACGATATAGTCCTTATGGCAGAATCGCTGGAGGACTTAAGCACTATGCTCAATGACCTCAATACTGCCTCCCAACGGATAGGTCTTAAGATGAACATGGACAAAACAAAGATCATGTTTAATGTCCATGTCACACCTATGCCGGTAGTTGTTGGGAGCACTAAGCTCGAAGTTGTTGACGAGTATGTTTACCTGGGACAAATAGTCCGACTAGGTAAGTCACAACTTCACGAGGCAAAAAGTATGATGATAAGCATGCTGGCTAACTTAACATACACATATAAGCAAGAAGGGCAAACGTACCTGATGAACAAAATGTGAAAAACTAATAAAAGACTATGTTAAAGTGGAATGGTTTATTAATAATCATCATTTTCACTTAAATCTCTTACCACTACGTCATCCAGAAATTAGTGTATAGAGTGGTATAGTAGTGGTAAGAGATTTAAGTGATGAGTTTAGATATTTTCTTGATACATAGCCCATCCAAGGTACCACACTAACGTCATAACGTGAGCGCAACATCCTATGGTGCGTCGACCGACCAAACAATTGCAACAATATTCGACTATAGCAGCTCTGCCAGACACGTTAATTTTCTATTAAAATATAGACATAATATTGTTTCCTTGAAATGTGCCTGGACTTAATTTTTCCTCTTATTAATGTTGTATCACTTGAGATTATACTGAGAAAAATCTTGTGTATCCCTACATATTTCTATTCTATATGATCTATGAAATTAAATATGTTCCCCATGATATGATCTGGCTTGCCTTATCTGGTAAGTGCCTAGAGCAAATAGTTATTAATTCGCTCTAACTTAATCTAGGAAACATAAATAAATTATCTCGGTCAGCTGTTATACTTTGAAAAACAGTTGACCTTCTATTCGTATTTAGTTCCTCAACCAGTAGGGCAAAATTATTTTCAGAATGAATTCTCTCTCTAATTATTGCGACTATTTCATTAGAATCATCTCTATCATGAAGACAAACACCAAATCGGTTAAGTAAACTGGAGGCTATCTGAAAGTTCAGCATTCAGTTGGGGCAAGACTATTTTCACAAATCAGCAGGCACTGATTTGTGAAAATAGTCTTGCCCCAAGAGCTTAAAGTCTTTTTTTAAATCGTCTCGATCAAAAATCGAATCGAAAAGTCCATTTACTGCTGCAACTACCCGGTGGCATATTGTTACACAGCGGCTCCGGTTGGCCTGCTGTGTTGTTAACTGGTGTTCGCCTTCTAATAGAGAATCGGGCATATATGGCCAATGATTACAGCCTTCTAGCATTCTTATAGAATCCCGGAAACCCCTATCCAATATGAACACATCATTAATATTATCTTGAAAATATAATGTAAGAGGAGAGTTTTTATCATCAAAAAGGGAAACCATTATGATAACATCGGATGTGGTAGCCTTGTATGGACCGTAACAATCTAAAATGTAACCATCACATGCCACAAATAAAATGGCTTTAATAATTTTTTCTATGTATCTTTTTGAAACGAGTAATTGGAACTTCTATTTATATTTATGTATGTCTCATCGCAAATAATTATAGCGTTTGTATAGTTTTCATTGCATATACCATTTGGTATTGTATGGTTATGATCCATTAGACTTTCTCTCGATATGTGATTGATACCCAGGTGCATAGGTACAAAATCTTGAACCAGGATTTCCCTGCATTCCATTTCTATACATAGTCAGGTGAAAAATGGGCATCATTCTTTCAAATAAATATCAAATCTGTTTACTTTACTTTTAAATTGTTTTTTTTTTCCTACAGCAAGTTCCATTAGTACGGAGTGACATTAATAAATGTCAAATCAAAAACCTGGATTATACACAACCCACGTTACAAAACTTTGAAGGTAATGATTTAAGAGAAGATTCTCAATCAGCAGGACTCCATCATATGGAATCACCAGAGATTGTAACAGCAAATGATGTAAAAGAATTATCTATTATTATGTTTATCATATTGTTATAGATTGGCAAAATTTATATATTTTTTTGTACATAATTTTCAACATTAGGTCATTATCTCGGACTCATCTTCACCATCATGTGTTACGCTAGAAGAGATCCATGCTCATTGTCGCTCAATACTGATGCAAGAATGGTGTTATTTTGCTTATGATGAAGAGTTGATATTTAGTCATATCAATTTCCACACCCGAAAAGAAGATATGCATCTTACTATTGCAAATGATCTTTCAGTGAAGGTAAATAATTATCTCATGCTTTTTTAAATAATTTTATCTATTCAAAATGCATACCAGAGCATTTTACTGTAATTTCATTTCTAATACAACAGGTTTCTTTCTCTCAACGACCAGAAATTGCTATCGATGATACAATATCATCTATAGAAGATATAAAACTTTATATGGAAACTCTGCAAGCCACTATTTTATGTAAAGGAACTGGCATACACTATAGGTAAGATAGATTTTCTTTCATTTCTTTTAATGTAAATAAAAATCTAATACTTTTCCATTTCTCATATTTTTGGTTTTTGATGCAGGGAATTTGCTTCAAACTGCACTGGGCAGGTATCTGCAAATGAATATAAGCGTTGGCGACAAAATCCACGTTGTTTACAGTGTCGAAGTCTACGTCAACGACTTCAACGAAGAAAGGGTGCTGATGACAGTAAATTCAAAGTGCGAAAACTTCAAAAAAACCTTGAAAGATTTAAAAAACGGTGTCATCGACTTTCCCTTAAAGTAAGATAAACTTTTACATTTGTTAATGTAATTGATTAAAGAAAGTTCCTTCTTTATTATATATTCATAGTTTTATTAATCACCTTTACACAACATAACTTTACTTTTAACCATAGAGGAAAGTAATATATCGTACATAGAGAGCCCACTCGTGGAATTTATTGAAAACCGCTAATGTAAATTGATCTGATAAATAGCGCCATCTATTATCGCCATCCATAAACTTGACATCTATAGCTATAGCTGACTATAGGTACTATATAGGCAATAGTAGCTTAGCTTCCTTCATCCTTACTAATTTACTTGTATTCAAGTTGATAAAGTTTTACTTGATTTTATTTTTCTCTTTAACAAAATCTTAGTAAAACTTTATCAAATCAAAAACAAGCCAATTAGTAAGGACGCATCAACTTCAAAAGGTTATTGGATAAACAAACAAAAAACAACTTTTATTTTACAATATTATTTATTTATTTACCTTGTGTTTATTTTTATAAGCTTGGGCTGCTGCTTTAGTTTCATCCTCACCATGGTATGTGATTTTACCAGACAAAATCCGGTTTATTGAACGGCACCAACATATATAAGCACATTAATCCAAATATAGCAACTATCGCAGTTTGCATGCAGAGAATGGGGCCAGTTAAAATTATTAATTAAAAGGGACTTAAAAGCCCCTTCAAATGCAACCGTGTCGGGTGCAGTATTTCTCGCCCCATAACTTCTGATATTCCCAAAGAAATTCTCTAGTTGAAATTACGTGTTAGCATAGCATCAAACGAATATGTTTGGGACATCAATATCCATAATTGTTGCATTCCTTGAATTGTACGTATGAAGTTTTTTATAGATGGTACAGCTTTCGTTGCAATCAAACGGATTTTGTTTTTTTTTTTTTTTTTTTTTTTTTATTTTTTTTTTTTTTTATAGAAGAGGGGGCAAACGAGCATGTGGCTCACCTGATGTTAAGTGACTACCGCCGCCCATGATCAACCGCAACACCAAGGGAATTGCAGGTGCGTTGCCGGCCCTTTAGAAAGGAGTAAGCTCTTTTCTTGAAGGTCCCCAGGTCGTATCGGTCCGGAAAAATCACCGGTGGTAAATTATTCCACAGAGAGGTTGTACGCGGAAGAAAACTCCTTTTGAAACGTACAGTGGTGGACCGCCAAGCATCCAGATGGTGTGGATGGTATCGGGACGTTTGCCGTGTAGTGCGTTCACGAAATTTGGCGGCTGGGATTAATCCGAACAATTCCTCAGAGCACTCCCCGTGATAGATGCGATAAAATACGCAAAGAGATGCAACATCTCTTCGCAGCGCCAGTGAATCGAGCCGATCGGAAAGCACTCGGTCGTCGACGATTCGAGCCGCTCTGCGCTGGATGCGGTCAAGTGGAAGGAGCTGGTACTGGGGAGCCCCAGCCCAGAGATGGGAACAGTATTCCATGAGCGGCCGAACCTGCGCCTTGTAAAGTTGCAGGCGGTGTGCCGGCATGAAATACTGTCCCGCTCTGCTGAGCACGCCAAGCTTTTTAGAGGCCAATTTGGCCTTCCCTTCCAAGTGACCACGAAACTGCACGTCACTCGATATGTCGACGCCGAGGATTCCGATACTGGCTGAGGCAACAAGGGGAGTGCCTTGAAACTGAGGGGATACGACAAAGGGGTTCTTTTTAGCGGTTAACGCGCAAACTTGTGTCTTCTGGGGGTTAAACTGGACTAGATTTAGTCGCCCCCAATCCGAGACTCTGTCCAGCAGAGACTCGACTTCAGACACAAGTTTGTCCCGGCACTCAGAGACGTTTTCCCGAGAAATATTTGCTCGGCCGGTGTAAAGAGCATCACCAGTGCTGTCATCTGCATAGCAATGAATGCTACGGGTTTGCAACATATCATTGATATGCAGAAGAAACAGCGTTGGCGATAGCACGCAGCCCTGTGGAACACCAGCATTAATAAGCTTGCAATCGGAGCTTGCACCGTCTACAACGACCTTGATGCTCCGATCTGCAAGAAAACTGGTGATCCAATCGCACAATTTCTCGGGAAGCCCATAGGAAGGGAGCTTCGAAAGAAGCGCTTTGTGCCAAACCCGATCGAAGGCCTTCGCAATGTCCAAACTAACGGCCAATGCCTCCCCCTTGGACTCTACTGCCTCCGCCCATCTGTGAGTTAGGTAGACCAGAAGATCACCAGCTGACCTACCACGGCGAAAACCGTATTGGCGGTCACTAATCAGCTGGTGATCCTCAAGGTACCTCATGAGCTGGCAGTTTACAATGGACTCCATTGTTTTGGAGAACAAGGAGGTGATGGCGATAGGCCGGTAGTTGGACGGGTCTGAGCGGTCGCCTTTTTTTAGGGATCGGGTGGACGAAAGCCGTCTTCCATGATTTTGGGACTACGCCTAGGGAGTAGGAGTACCGGAAAAGACGCGTTAAAACCGGTGCCAACTCTGGAGCACACGTCCTCAGCACAATTGGGGGGATTCCATCAGGCCCACTCGACTTATGGATGTCCAGGGAGAGGAGTGCTTTGCGAACCGAGCGCTGAGTGAAGTGCACTTCCGGCATGGAGCACTCACACCGCGGGATGGTCGGCGGCGTACTCCCCCCGTCATCGAGAGTCGAGTTAGACGCAAAGAAAGAGCCTAGAAGATCGGCTTTCTCCTTTGCGGTGTGGGCCAGTGAGTCGTCCTCCCTGTGCAGAGATGGAAGAGATGGCTGACAGAAATTCCCCTGCACAGCCTTGGCGAGAGACCAGAATGCACGGGTTCCAGAAGGAAGACGAACTAGTCTCTCGCCAATTCTGCCTATGTGCTCTGACTTTGCCTTGGCAATGACTCTTTTGAAGGACCTAGAGGCGGAATTATACTTCTTTTTTAGAGCGCTGGTGTTTACATCCCTGGACGCTGATGCGTCAGCCCAGGCTTGGTAGCACTCCTGCTTATAGCATGATGCTATTTTACAGGAGCGACCAAACCATGGCTGAGATTTGCCTCCAATGGGCACCACAGAGGAAGGAATAAAAAGTTCCATACCCTGAAGTACCACATCAGCGACAGAATCCGCAACAACGTTGGGATCATCCGGCGAGAAGCAAACCCGCCCCCAAGGGTAGGATGCAAAGAAAGACCGCATCCCATCCCAATCGGCTGACCTATAGTGCCAAACACGGCGGCAGCCTGCAGAATGCAACCGCGATTTCAGCGTGAGTGGCACCACACTCCGGACAAGACAATGGTCCGAGGAGCCTAAAGGGGCGTCGACGGAAATCTGATATCCGTCCGGGTGAGAGGTCAGCAGAAGGTCCAACAGGGAAGGTGCATGATCCTCCACATCTGGAATCCGCGTAGGCGAAGTAACCAGTTGTGTCAGACCATATGCCAAGGCAAAATCATGAACAGATCTCCCCGCATGATCGGTTAAACGTGAACCGAGCCATTCGGCGTGATGGGCGTTGAAGTCGCCGAGGATCACGATCTCTGCGGAGGGGATCTGCTGTAGCAACGAATCTGCAGCCATTTGGACGTGGTCGAAGAGTCGGTCTGTTTCGGCATTACCGCTATGGGACCTATAGAGGCACCCGTAGACGCGCGGATGGTCGTCGCTGTCTACGCGTAGCCAAAGGATGGACAGGTCCGAACCTTCAAGTCTGCCGAGGCGTCGAGAACAGATGTCCTCTCTGACGTAAACGCAAACTCCAGCCCGAGGCACAAAGGAGTGTTCCAGTTTGTACCCCGGGCAGGAGAGATACGAGACATCAGCCGGAGAGGACACCTGCGTCTCGGTCAGAAAGAGCAGAGCCGGCCTCGCCGTCTCGAGATGGTAGTGGACGGCGTTTAGGTTAGAGTGAAGTCCCCTGATATTGCAGAAATTCACGGACAGCGTGGCAGGGGTCGCCTTGGTCTTGTTGCTCCGTTTGCCCCGAGCAGTTTTAGTCTTGAGCGGAATATTGCCCCCCCCAGAATACGTGGGGCAGCCTGAGCACCCACGCTCAGAAGTGGAGAAACATGGTCGTGGATGCTCAGCGAGGGATTCTCCAGGGGTGCTGGTACCCTCCTGGGGTAGTCTATCATTTAATTCCGCTACCATGTTGATGGGGGGGGGGGGGATTTGGGCCTCCGGCCACCTGCACTCACCAGACGAAACGCGGAAGCAGAGCTTCCACTTCATTTGTTATTTTTGTCCTTAATTTTTTTAATAAATTTTACAGTTTTCAAAACTTTTATGGCATTCTTCCACAAACCATGGTGTGGACTAGATCGTCCAACACATCCTTTATATATTTTGCCATCAGGCACATGAAATGTGTTTAAAGAATCAAAAAGATTGTTCATTAATTTTGTAAATTTTACCACATTTGGGCATTCTACCGGAATGTCTCCTCTTGCCACCAGATGTCCTGCAGTCGCAGCTACCGTGTGACTGAAAACTTGGGCTGCTGTTTTCACTTTCATTTTTCTAATTTTATCGACATAGATGTGCTCATCTGTAATTTTTAGTAGGCACCTCACCTCTCCATACGACTTATCAGCTTCATAAGTTTGCTTATAGTAATCCCATTTGATGATTTTTTTCGCACTTTTTTTTAAAAAATCATAGTATTTTAAATCTTTTGTGAGTAAATTGTTTCGGACTCCTTTTAGTAAATGTGGAACATCAAATAGAGGGATTATTTTTGTTTTTCCTATTTCAATGATTTCATGCCTAGATTCCTTTTCTTCTCTTAAATATTTTTTTCTTGTATCTTCTACCAAGTCATTTATTACGCTTACATTGACTGTACTTTGATCATAGACAGTACATATGACCTTTAACCCAGTACTATGTACATACTTAATCACTTTTTGTAATATTTCTTTTAACTGCGGTTTATTCACTGAATTGGTGAAATAATACGCGACGGGTTGCTTAAATTTCTTTTTTACCCCTTCACCATGAAGACCAATACATGGTCAGCAATTTTCTTGCCATCAAATGTGAACCCTCTAAGCTGGTCTTTAGCAGCGTTATAATGAATTTGAGGGGATATTGACATTTCGTCGAAAATTAAGCTGCATAAGCGGTCTTCTGTACATAGCTCCTTGACGGTATTTTTAATTTTCATAAATATGCATTTATTAAGCCCCGGCTTCAATTCTATTTTGGTCAAAAGTCTTTTTAATGATTTAGTTGAAGTTAATGTGAAATATTTTGCCAAAAGAGGGTAACTTCTTGGACTTTTTATATAAAGAAAGCGAGAGCAGTTTTTCTTCAAGAGAGAATCTGCGACCAGGAGGCCTCTTGCTCGTCTGGGTGTACTGCATTTTTGTGAAAATTTTTGCTGCTATGGTCATTTTGTTCGTCAGTTTTTTAAATAAAATATCTGTAGACATTTTTTCAGCATTGGCTATTCTGGATTGAAAGGTTTTGTTTTTCTTTTGTGATCTGATCAAGTTTGATTGCAAACCTTTAATTTTTCTTCTTGTTGTTTTAAGCTGGTTCAACCAGAATGACGGCCACTCCTGCTGCTGATAATTATCTGTAAAAAATTTGATTTGCATAATTTTTTGATACATACTTGGACTCAATTTTTTTTTAAAGTTACGAGTATGTGAACCCATTTTTTATAGGATAGGGAGACAAACGAGCACACAGTCCAACTGATGGTAAGTGGTTGTTGTGGCCCATAGACATCTACATCTATCATCGACCACGAATCAAAATGCAGACGCGTTGTTAGCCGTGAGGACTAAGATGTAATGTCTCATTACCAGTAAATAGGGTCTCCGGTTCTCAACGCTCACCATACGAAACACAGCAGCATTCAGTTCACATATCAGTCACTATTTTACGCTGGTATTCTGTGAGAGCGTGGTCCTTCCCCGGTCGAACTGAGCCATTCGTGCTACAACTATACTCTAATATAACTGCAACATGGCTCTACCACGTAAAGTAAATTTTTTGGCAATGGAAACAATAGACAATATTATTGCCTTCCGAATGAGCCTATTTTTATGTCAAGAAAAAAACAATATGGCTGTCACATAGAGGGGAAGAGGATTAGACCTCAGTGTGTAGTGTATGTGTGTATTAAAAATGTTGTAATATACGTATTAAGTAATAAGACAATAGAAGTCGCATAGACGCGTGACTTTGTCGCCGCTATGATGTGTTGACGACATCATTCACCATTTTGTGATTAAATTTCGCGGGGGAACGTCTTCCGTGAATTTATGTTATTATAAATTTATAATGGTGAACTGCAGCGTAATCAGTTGTAAAAACTCATCAAGGATGTGTAATTCTACAAATAAAGGCATTTCATCGGTAAGTTGATTATTTACTAATTTTCATTGTTTTAACTCTAATTTCGATCTAGACGAATACTTTACTATGATATTTCCCTTTGTAAACTCTCATTTATTAGTTTTCGTATTGTACAATTACCATTTCTGCTTTTGTTCTGCATTGACAAACTCACCAAGCAATGTAATGTGAAACATTAAGTATCATTGTGCATTGTGTCTATGTTTATAATACGGTAAGATGTGGCGACATCGGTTTTGGAAGTAATCGAGCGCTAATTCATTTCTATTGTCTTATTATTACTATTTCTGTGCACTGTATGTATTTATTTATGTCATTAGCTTTTACAAAATTATGGCCAATTACTATCATTTGATTTTTAGTTGGGATTGGGTTCGGATAATTTTTAGGAAAACACCATAGTGCTTTTCTTAAAAGTGCACTCTGTTTCCTAATCCCCTAAATATCTAAAAAAAACTTACTATTATTTTTATGTATTGCCTTCTTCTGCAGTCGGCAATAATTGTGTTCTGAATTAATTCTGGCAGAGTTATTTATTTATTTATTTATGCTTTATTTGCACACCGAGTACAAGAAGGCGGACTTAATGCAACAAGGCATTCTCTACCAGTCTACCTCCAGGTTAAGCAGAGAAGATATTGTGGGTGCAAAGTGCAACTGAGTTAAAACATCTTTAAGTAGACATGCACATTACATATTGCATTACATGTTATAAACATAATTATACATATATATTATAATATGGATATACATACAAGATATTGTAGTGTTATGCTACTTACATACCATTTTACACTATTTTAAATTTATTTTTCCATTCTGTTTTTGATTTTCTGCATTCATCTCAAAACTGGATATTTTGCATCACCTTTATTTTCATAGGATCCTGTAACGTTTTTAAACCATAAGAACACAATAACAAATCATTTTCACATCGTATTTTCACGCTATCAGCACTTTTTAAATCGGTGTCAATGGAGTCTACCTTTTTCGGTATTTTATTTAGTCCTTCGTAACTCTGCAATTTCGGGCTTCGTGCGCACTGTTGCGCTACCTTTTTTCCTATATCAATAATATCTCATTTTTCACTTAAATCTTGCCGTTTCTCTATTACGAGCCTAAAACCAAAATTTGACATGTTTTGACATCGTTGTTTATCTGGTTGTCATGGCAATTTTTATTCAAATATCGTTACCGGCCTGATGTTTTTACTTCAAAAATACTCTTTTCTTCTTGGCCATTTATAAAAATTTGCTTTTAATTTAAATAATTTCAAATAATTTCTCGTTCTTATCCCAGATCCGTCAAAAAGTATAAAAGCCGAGGAATCGGCCAATAGAGGTTCTCACTTCAGCTTTGATATGAGAAGCACCTCTTAAAGGCTTTATCCGCACTGCCTCGGGATCTTGCAAGCCTCTGCCTTCTCCTGAAGTCGTCGCCTAGCCACGCCTACGCCTCCACCTATTAGTGCCCGCGCTATCTTCGGCCGCTGAGCGTGCTTTTCTCAAGCGCTGCGTGTTCCTACTCCAGACGCTGCGTGTCTTCGGCGCTCCGGGCGCTGTGTGTGTCTACTCCGGGCACTGTGTGTGTCTACTCCGGGCGTTGTGTGTGCTTACTCCGAGCGGTGTGTGTGTGCCTACTCTAAGTGCTGCGTGTACCTGCTCAATACGCTGTGTGTACCTACTCCAGACGCTGCGTGGACCTACTCCAGACGCTGCGTGTCTACTCCAGGCGCTGTGTGTGTCTACTCCGGGTGTTGTGTGTGCTCATTCTGGTCGCTGTGTGTGCCTACTTCAAGCGCTGCGTGTACCTAGATTAGGCGCTGTGCATCTACCACAGGCATAGCCTGTACATACATTGTTTCCGTACTCATTTATCTTTATTAACTTTTATTTTTTTTAAAAATTGTAATTCACTATCATCACTACAGCCCATCATCACCCTCATACCTTTTTTTTATAAAAAAAAGCTGTAAATATCTTTACAAATTTTAAATAAATTATTTTCTTTTTGGTTGTTTCGTTGTTAGGTTAGGTTCTATAGTTTTTAATTGTGGCTTTACATTATATAAAAGAAACTGTAAATATCTTTACAAATTTTAAATAAATTATTTTCTTTTTGGTTGTTTCGTTGTTAGGTTAGGTTCTTTAGTTTTTAACTGTCGCTTCACGACGATATATAAATATATACACATATATGTGTACATACATAATTAAATATAGCTATTTCTGATTCAAACACCTATGAAATATTTGAAATAAAAACAGGAAAAGGGAACAGTTAGAATTTAAGAATATAAAAAATGTTAATCGACAAACTACTCCTGCAACGCCAGAAAATGATTCCATAGCAAGCGTTTGAACGATGCCTTGCTCGTGGCTCCACGTATACTGCTCGGTATCTCGTTCCACAATTTTACCGCGTGAGACGTAAAAGATTTATACAAGAAGCTAGTGTGAGAGAGGGGGACATGGAGATTAGACTTTTCCGCAGAACGGAGACAACGATTATGAGAATTGCCCTAATACTGAAATTTACATTTCAGATATTTAGGGACAAACGGATCGTGTAGAACTGAAAATAATGTGCACAGTATTCTGAAATATCTGCGATAGCGGAGAGGTAGCCATTTAAGCTGAGAACGATAAGAGATGTGGTCGTATTTACGTAAACCGAAAATGAAGCGTATACAATTATTAAGAAGTCGATCCAGTTTGTTTAGAAGTTCTTGAGAGGCATCAGCATAGCCTCGCATAGTGTGAGTGACCTTTTTGCTCACTTCATATATATGCGGTCGCCAAGTGAGGGTGTTGTCAATAACTAAGCCAAGATCTTTAACAGTTATCGAGTAAGGAATAGTAACATCATTAAAAATTATAGGAGGCACCTTCATATCAATTTTAGGCAATCTACGAGAACTACCAACCACAATAGCCTCACACTTAAAAATGATGGATTAACCCTAATATCAAATCTGTCCGACCAATAATAAATACTGTTAAGGTCGCAGTTAAGCTTCTTAATCACATCATCGATACCTGCCACCTCAGTTTGAGCATAAATTTGTAAGTCATCAGCATACAGATGGTACGAACAGCGAATGTGGGATGTAATGAGATTTATAAAGACTGAGAAAAGAAGAGGAGAGAGAATTCCGCCTTGAGGAACGCCATCAGACAACGAGCACCAATCAGAGACGATCTGACCCACTCGAATAGCCTGCTGACGACCCCGAAGATACGAGGAGAACCAGTCCCGTGCTGACGAAGAGAAACCCACGTGGCAAAGTACAGCTAGGAGAATATCATGATCGACAGCGTTAAAAGCGTTAGAGAAATCTATTAGGACTAACACAGTCAATTTTGAGTTCTCCATTTCAGTACGAAAATCTTCTGTAACTTTCAAAAGAGCTGTGGTTGTACTGTGCCCAGGCCTAAAACCAGATTGAAATGTGCTTAGAAAATTATTTTTGAAAATGTAACAAGAGATTTGTTTATGGACAATAGCTCGAAGAACTTTAGATAAAAAAGGGAGAATAGATATTGGGCGAAAGTGAGAGAAAGAACTGGGGTTTTTATTTTGAGCAGCGGAATAACAAATGCTTTTTTCCAAAGTGTAGGAAAATCCCCAGTCAATAGTGAATGATTAATGATGTGAGTAATAACATGAGTAACATTGTCTAGAATTAAGGTGATCATGAGTCTATTCACATCATCGAAGCCAACTGCCATAGACTTAATACAATAGATGATCTTTTTTATATCCTCATCAGCAACGGGAGAAAAATCAAATATACTGTTACGAGATTGTGGCATGGAATTCAAATAAGAAATAGTACTTGATTTAACAGAAGCCTCCATTTGGGAAGTTGAAGAAAAATGTAAGTTTAGGTCACTTATAGAAATAATTGCAGGGTCCACGTTACACGTAGGTTTACCGACCCCGATCGTCCGGAGAAATTTCCATGTATCAGCCATAGAAGAGTTCATGATATTATGGTGAATATAGCGGCGTTTAGCGGCTCGTACCATCTGATTACATCGATTTCTCGCAGCTTTGAATTTTGCCCAATTGAGTTCACAACGGTTCTGCTTGAATTTCCTAAACATCTGATCACGCTTAGACATGGCCTTACGGATATTTTTAGTAATCCATGGCGCAGGCGTGCGCTTTAACCTAACATCAGGAATAGGTGCGTATTTGTCAAACAGCTTATGAATATTAGAGTTAAATTTCTTAATCTTGTCATCAATACTCTCTGCATTAAATGTATCGCTCCAGTCTAAAAGCGAAGCATCATGTTGCAGCGATTCTACATTTACCCTAGCAAAATTACGCAGACGCACTATTACTGGCTTTACTTTGGGAGGTTTGATTTTATAGGAAATGAATAGTAAATCATGTCTCCAGAAACCAGGAGCAGGGAACTGTCCGTGGCACGCAACACGTTCTTCTGAGGAGACTAATATTAAATCTAATAAAGTATCCTCAGTAGTAAGATTATGATGGGTGGTTTCAAGTGGAAGTATTGAAAAATTTGCCGATTCAATAATTGAACGCAGTCCACGCGATCTAGGGGTATCACTTAGAAGATTTGTGTTAAAGTCACCCATTAAAATATGATGTTGATAATCAGAGCAAACTGAAAGAAGTGCCTCCTCAAATTCACATAAATAATTGGAATTAGGTGTACATTGTGAAGGTGAGGCTGATAAAATTTTGTAAGGAATACCACTTCGCAGGTATACTGCTACACCACCTCCTCTTTTATCAATGCGATCGTTACGAAGTAAAATAAAGCCTGGTAATCCGTAAGAAATAGAAGGAAAAGTTGGGTTTAACCAGGTTCCCGAGATAAGTACCGCGTGGATACTTTGATTATTAAAATTTTCTAAAAGGTCATTGTAATGCTGCGGAATACTCTGGGCATTAATGTGACAAACGTTGAAATTTTTATTATAATTATCGAACTTTTGGGTCAGGAGAGAACGAAGTGTAGGTAGTTCAAATTCAGAGTCAGAAAATGAATAAAAGGAATCAGAATTAGCAGAGGTGAATGAATCGTTATCGGAAACTGCCATGTCACTAAAAATCAGTATGTAATATAAATCAGTATGTAATATGAAAATAAATTAACATATAAATAACTTATAGAAATAAGTATATAACTTATTTAAGTTAATAAAAATAAATATCTTTAATATATTATGTTTAATATACGCTGTATTGTAGTTTAGATAATGATTTAGATTGCTACCATACTTGCTGGTAGACTGTTTACAAAACGAGATTAATAATAAAAAAAGAATAAAAATATGAGATCAAATCAAAAAAAAAAAATCAAATCACTTTGGTCATAAAACTATCAGAAAAAGTTAAATATAAAATGCAATAAATGTTGTTCTTATGCACCTATGTTATAAAACAAAAATATAAAATAATGAAACACCACCAATAAAAATATTCCATAATGCTTAACGTAACCTTAGATATACACACATCCCCCCCGAACGGGTTCCCGCCTTGTCGTGGCGGGGAGGCTTAGTAGCCGTGGCTTGGTCTCCCACGGTGAACAAAGAGGAACCCACGTGGCTGGCCCGAGGTGAAGGGCCGGCCTGAGGTGGCCACTCCGAGTGGGCTTGGGGAGCCCACTTCGGATGTATGCTCGTGGACTGCAGCGAGTGGGGACTCGCGCACCCTCTACCGCTGCAGCCGAGGTGGAGTCGCGGAGGAAGAGGAGTGTTGGTATGGCGATGCGCCACTCGCCCTATCCTTCGCGACTCAAACGGGGCCGCACCGTTGATGCGGTGGTGGTGGGGCTGCGGGGGGAGAGAATTGTCGGTATTGCGAGGCGCCGCTCTCCCTACCCTCCGCAGCCGAATCTTGGTTGGCGGCGGAGCCATAGACCAGATCCGCCGCTGGGGTCGGGAAGGCTAGTACTTCTAAGTGCTCGTTTTTCCTGGCCCCATGGCCTTTGTGCATCGGACGCGGGGGCGTCTGTTGCACAGACGTAATTGGAGGCCGTGGAGGAAGGCGCGCCATGTGTTCTGGTGCGCCTTACCTGAGAAGGAGAACGGGGAGGAATTTTCCTCTCCCGAGGAGGTGCTGCTATGGGGCGGCAGGCGCTAGTAGGGCCGCGGATGTGTGCGAAAGCGTTCCCGTAGCCCTGCCAATATGCGACAAAGGTGGAACACCATGGGGTTTTAGTCGGTGCGAGTCCGACATAACCCGTCCTTGCCCCCGCGAGGCGGGTATGCGTTGGCATTTCCCCATGCAAAAAAAAAAGATATACACACATGTGGTTGATAATTACTTAA